TAAGCTGTGAGCTGCCAGCTTCTCTAGAATGCTGTTGGAATTTTGCCAATGTCACCGAATCTCTTTGATGAAATACTTCCTTCATATGAGAAACATGATACAAAGTTATCATGAACTGCTGTAGCTCAGCAGTACCACAAAATGAGTAGGGACTATCAGCCGCATTCTGTGATAGTCTTGTCATTCTCCCAGAATTGATCAATTTTATGTGTTTAGGTGTAAAGTCATAAAAATGGTTTGTTCAGAATATACCAGTCTGTGCTAGATAACACAGGCAATGAAAAGCTTAATGCTCCGTTTGTTACCTGGCTTTCCATTTAATAATGAGTTAAATTCAGGGTCATGGTCCTCGTCATCAGCATTTCTTGAAAGTTTGGTACGAGAAAGATGTTCAAACCTGCAACTGACAACTCTCAAAGCTGACTTAACTTCACTAGTGGTCAACAAGATTAAAAAGCATAAAAGGAGAAATACCCTTTCTTGGAGGAAATCCTTATTTCCTTGTAGAAAGGAGAGTGGTCAGTTTCCTGGTGAAGTAAAGCTTTGTCAGGTCTCCATGGAACTGGGCTAGTCTTCCGCAGTGAATTCTGAGCAGTGGGCTTAAATGGAGTATTTACAGGCAGCAATTTTTGCAATGCTTGTAGTTTGGTTTTTTTTTCCCAAGAGATTACAAATAATTACAAACTGATATTTTCAGACATCCTGTGAAATTTTAATATGACTGTTCTATTCTTTAAATTTGTTGCTGAAAAAATCCTGGTAATATTTTTGGAAAAAATATTTCTTATTTCTAAGAGAGTTTAAGATAAGTCAGGAATTTGTCTATCTGGTGGAGGTGTTCCACTCTCCTATTGTGCTTTGTTTGCTTCTTGTACATATGGGGAGGGGGTGTATCTTTATTTTTCAAGTTATCTGATCATGAAAACTTCAGGAGGCAATAAAAGATACCTTGCATACTCTTTTAAGATGGTTGGCACACTCCCAAACTCAAGGGAAGACAGAATCTATAGTCCTTGGGACATCTTTGAGGGGCAGAGGCTTGGAAATGCTGTTTCACTCTATATAAACAAGAAAACAAATTCCTAGCTCTAGAAACAAATTTTTTCTTTCCAAATTTGTAAGAAGGCATTTTAAACAGCCTGGATCAGTTCTAAATATAGCTACTTTCCTCTAAATTAATTGTTAGTTGTACTTTCAACTGAATCTATTTCTAACTGCTTGGAAATAAATCAGTTAAATGTTGATGAGCATGTGGGTAATGTTACTGTGGCTTAGATATTTTTTACTGCATTAAAAATGTTCTCTCCATGTACTTCGAGTCGCAGTTCAATTCAGAGTGATATGAATGCCCAGTGTATTCTGGCATTTCTGTCAGGCCAGATCCAGTATAACGCTTTCAAGTCACATTGCCTGTTTTCTTGTTGGCATACAGACAAAAAAGTCTCAAGCCATTGCTACTTGACTTTTGGAAGCTAGCATTTCTTTGGCTGCTCGTTTATAAGTGCAGTGTCGTCTTAATCCGCTTGGGGGACACAAAGAAGGTAGAATACTGCTTTTTTCGGTACTGCACCAGGTTTCAATTAGTTTGAGACAACAGTTGTTTTAAGAGGGCACTACTTAAATCGGATTAGTGAAATGACCAGTATGAAACAAAATACTGACTTCTGAAGGCTGTTTTCCTGCAGTTCACGTCCATGATTTCACTTGCAACCCAGCTACCCAAATAATTGCATCAGCACAAATGTGGTGGCAAATCATGGAGGAAGTTGAGGAGAGTGGGAACCTCATAAGTCAGCATTTCCTCCTGAATTAACTGGCACGTGAAACTGCATTTCCTGATACCAGCTAGTGTGTCATATGTTAACAGTTATAGTGTAGCTTAGTCTGTAATAATTCTGTGTGCTAATTGAGAGGGTAGCTTCTTGTTAGATGATGGTTTTTAATTCTGTCTTAAGTTCTCTACAGTTCAAATTCTGGGGCTTAATATGAATTTGAACTGAAAGGGAAAGGCATGTCATGTATATGAGAGGAGCTATGTAAAAATGTTTTGGTCACTTCAGATTTTTTTCCTATTCTCTGTCGAGAGCTCGGTGGTTTAAAAACTGCTTCTTTCGCAGAGGATCATATTTACAAAAAGGTATTATCAAGTCAGTTTTTTCCTGCAACGACATTTTCATAATGTTATCTTTAATTTTGTCTTTAAGTTAAATCAAATTAGAGAAGTTTTACCGAGATGACTGTCTGCATTTTTTGCTACCCAAAATTTTAAGGCTGAATTATTCTCTCCTGAGAGATGAATTAGGCTAGCGCATATTTATCAGACTTCTGATAGAATTTGGTTTCATTCAGCAGTACTCTACATAGAGTCCTCTGGTGGTCAGCTTCAGTGCTTTTGCAAAAGCTTATAAAACATACATTTTTGCTCCATTCAGATAACGGGAGTTTCAGAATTCTACTTTCGTTGGTCGTGGATATTAGAGAGGTATGATAGTTTTTTAACACGTGCAAAATACATGTCTTAAGGTTTTGTTTAAAAATAGAGTAACAGCGGTGAAACCCATTCTTGGGCCTCCAAAGCCCTAGGTACAAGGACCTTAGCAAATGACTGTCTCAAACAAGTAAGATGTCTAGTTTTGTTGGCTGATTCAAACAAGTGATGTCGTTCCACAAGAGGGAAGCATTTGGGCATTAATCTGTGAACCTGAGGTGATATCTTGATGGCATCTGTAATCTGAGTACTCTAGAATGCTTATCCTGTTGACCTAGTTACTTTATGACCACGAGAATGCAGAGTGCCCTATCTGCCAGGAACTTCAGGGAAGTACATCTTGGAAACGTAGATTGACTTGATGTTCTGTTCAAATCCAGATTACAGTTTCAGCCTTCAGTAATCTTACCAAGTGTGTGCAAAAAATAAGAAATATTTAAGAGCTGTTTACCAACACGTCCTCTTTGTTATCCTTTCATGTTAAATGTTTTTCAACACGCAATGCTGTCAGTGGAAATCAGAGGATAATGGGTCAGAAAAATATTTCAGGTGTGAAAAATGATTTCATTTATTTACCAGAGTAAACAAAAGTGGCCAGCATTTGGAAGGGTGGTTTCTGCTCTCTCCCCCCACCCTCTTCTGACAAGTAGTCATAAGAACAGGCCGTTCCTGTTCGAGGTAAATTTTGACCTGGCGTCTCTGTAATCAGCCATCTCTGGCAGCTTCCTTGTCTATAATGGATTGAGTTCTGTTGTCGTTTCTCTATAGTTTATCTGACATACTACTTTTTCTTCTGCAGAGGAGAAGAAAAAACTAGTTCGAGAATTTGATGAGAAACAGCGTGAAGCAAATGAAACGGTAAACATAACTCTAGACTTCTGGCCTTTCTGACCAGTTGAAACACTGATGCCTTAAAAAGGACAGTACTTCCAAATTTTACTCTCTTTATGGTTCCTATGCTGGCAGGCAAATGTTGTATTTTTTTAATGTGTGATTCATTGATCTGATAGATGTGTCTGTGTTTGTCAAGACTGTTGTATATATCTATATACATATCTAGATACAGACAAATATTCTTACATGCGTATTTTTTCTTTTGAGTGCTCAGTTCGGATATCGCCTTCTCTTCGTTGAACAAAGGAGAGTGATAGAGGTGCAATTACAATTGCTAGAGATTGTAGGGAGGGCACGTAGAGAATCTCGCCCCCCCCCTCCTTTTTTTTTTCCCCTACTGTCTTCTTTCATGTTGGTCTTAACCCACCTGATCTTTCTATAATAGTCTGATGGTTAAATATCAGGGATCTTGAATATTTTAAACTTCTATGGTATAGGCTTCCTAGACAGCAGGTGACATGGAACTGCACAAAAAACTCATGAGACTTGTCTTTTTAAGCAAGACATTATGGATTAAGCTTTCTTTTCTTCTTAATGTGTTATTTGTTAGGATGTTTTTGAGCTGAACATTCTTTTGAGAGAGGTGCTTTATTCCTCTAATTTACTGGGTTTTATTGACATGTGTCTGTGTAGGTGATATACGAGATGTAGCGTTCATGTTGTGAGTGAGCTCATGTTGGTGGACAACTTTAAGCATTGTGAATTTGTAACAACTGTCACCAAAAGTTGATGTGAAAATTTATGCATCCACAATCCCAGGGTTTACAAATCCTAACTCCAGTTGCCAGGCCCAGATATTCAGAGTATGAATTTAGTGTCATGCCTACCTATGCAGTAGATCTCTGTTGCATAGATATGATGAGAAGCTGATACCCATCCTATAAATGCTTAAACAATATGAAAGTGAGAACTGCACATCTTGAAATTAGAGTGACGTTTCAGAAAATATCAAGCATTTAAGCCTGGCGATTAATTTCTTTTTTTTCTTTTCTTTTTTTTTTTCCTTGAGGCATTGCGTATCTGAAAATCCATGTGGGCTGAACAGCATTAGGCAGAATGGTGTACTCGATACTAGATGAGGGGTACAGGGTTTGGGGTTAATCGCCCCCCCCGCCCAATCACATAAAGGCATAATCCCTTCATCTGGTGGTGAGTTTTGAGTATAGCTGCTGCTAAGAATAGATTTGGTGCTTTAAAAAATAAACACATTTTCTTTTGTTAAAGCTGCGGGAAATGGAGGAAGAACTGAAGTATGCTCCTCTGCCTTTCCGCAACCAAATGATGAGCAAAATCCGGGCATACAGAAGAGACCTCTCCATGTTCCAGAGAGAGATGAGAAGCACAGATTTGGGATTGGGCTCTGGAAGTCAAGGCGATATAAAATACGGAATCTTCTCCACAGAAAATGAACAGAGTGTGAGAATTAGATATAAATTTTATTTAACATTGCTGTGATTGTTTAAAAAGAATATTCCAGATGTATTGTTTACAATGTTTCTACTTTAATCCACTTAGCTTCTCTGCTTGTATAACTCCCTGTATATCTCTGCATGTAACATGAATATCTCGGGGAGGAGAAAGAACACCTGGAACTCAAAGGAGAGCTTTTCTGTTCTAAAACAAAGATATGAATATAATAAAAATGGAAGTCCTTGAATACCACACAGTTAGTAACTTACACAACATTCTGTACTGAAATGCTTTATTTAATCATTCCCTTACAGCAGTGAAAACACAAAAGTGATGCTACTGACCGAGAAGAAAGGTTAACTTATCTAGTTTTAGTCTCCAGAACTAGCAAAGTGTGTGAATCATGCACTGTATAGGTTCTTTGGTAGAATTCTCTTTTAAGCAATCTCACTGTAAATAATTTCAAGAAAATATAAGAAGTCATCCTCTAGCACTTTGTTCACTATGGATATGCTGCTACGGTGCAAGAAATACACGAATTTCTTCGTTTACCAGATATGCTTAGATATATTTGAGCTAGTGAGACTGAATTTGCTTATTTTCAAAGTCATCTGTACAGAAAGTTCATGGAGGTGAGCTTTTTGTTTGTCTGCCTTAGATAAGGAAGGTTTGAGGGAGGCTCTTTCCTTAGTATCTCATTCTGCAGTAGCTTGGTAAATTTTTGCATTTGATTCCTCTTGGTTGATTCCTCTAAGAACTGAGAGCAGGATGGTAGCTTAGACTTTCTGAAGCTTAAGAAAATACTTTATTTTGAGCTACCTTTTGACCCCAAGGTCAGCAAACATTTCTTATCCTCTAGCTGAGGCTACTGGCATGAAAAGAGGATCTGTGTTACTTAGCAGTCCATCTGTTAGTGCTGTTTGTTCCTAATCCTTTTGACTGTGTAAACTCTTTATGATCTCCCTAGCAACCAACTGTGAAGTCACAAATAAGACTGAATTTAGATACAAATGGAAGGAAAAGTTAGCATCTGGAAAGGAAAGATATTATTTTCATGTAAATGTTCTTTGATTGAAAAGTAAATTGTTGCAAAGACAGTTTTTTGTAACTGTTTTAACTCTTTAGTTGTGTGTCCTTCTTTTCCAAGGTTTAATCAGATTTGGCCATAATCTTACAATGTGAACAAGAACTCTTTCAAAATTAACTGGGCTACATCAGTTAACATAAGCAGCATGTACAGCTAATACAAATGGATGGCCTATGGAGTCACGTCATAACTTTTTAGTATGTCAGAAGCCTAATACCTCTCTCTTCGTGCTTAATAGTTAAGTATACTTTATTTTTCAGACTAATCTGCAGTCACAGAGGGTACTGCTTCTCCAGGGAACAGACAGCCTGAACCGCGCCAGTCAGAGCATTGAACGCTCGCACCGAATTGCTGCTGAAACCGATCAGATTGGCACCGATATAATTGAAGAACTTGGGGAGCAGCGGGAGCAACTGGAACGCACCAAGAGCAGAGTAAGCAGGGAAACCGTGGGCATTGTATTGAAACAACCTGGTGTTAGCTTAGTGGGAACTGTATGCCAGTAATTACTCTCGGAGACCTCTCTAGACATGGTAATCCAATTGATGTTTCTACAGACCAAATCCAGGCTGCCACATTTCTATAGGAAATGGAAGGAAAAGGAAAAAAGGAAAAAAATTACTGTAGAAGGGCCCAAAGCAGAATGGCCAAATGTCTGCTGCTGTGTCTGTGCAAGATTGGATATTCGACCTGTAAACCACTGCTAAAAAAAAACAGCATTACTGAAAAAATCAGATTTTAAAAAAATGCTAAGGCGTTGCCCACCACTAGATTACTAGTAAAGGTTTAGATTTGGGAGGCAGTTAGCAAGTTCTTCTAATGAAATGAAAGTTAATAGAAGCTTAATTACTTAGTTACTAACCTTCCAATATCTGTAGGTTAGCTAAGGAGGGAGAAAGTGGTGTCAGACAAGATGCCTGTTCCTCATCCTTGAGTCAAGAAGCTCTGCTTCTACTGTGGAAACTTTAAGGAGTAGTTCATTTATTTTGTGTACACACATATGCAAAACCGAGACTTTGATTTTTTGAAGTGACAAACTGATGGGATTTTCTGTGTGTACAAGGGATCCTGAGTGTAAAGCTTTTAGGTGAGTGACTTGCAGGGGGACGCTGAGTTTGGCAAGTAGGCACGCTCAGCCAAAACAAAAAGCATACCCCTTTTCTTGGGAGTTATCTCTGCTCGTTGCAACAAAGCCTGTAGATTTTTCATTTAAGCAGTTTTTAAATTTCAGTCAGAATTTGATTTGCCCTGCTCCCAAATTTGGGTTGGAGAGCAGGAAAGGAAAGGTGATCTTAAGATTTGTAGGTATAGTTTTTGTCTGTTCTTTTTCTAATTAAAAATATCATAGTCCTTCAAGCACGTCAGTCTACACACAGTTGTTCATGAAGCTGTGACTTTTATTGTCAGCCTTTCAGGCACTGTGTTGCTGAACTGTATTAAACGCACATTCCAACTAGAAGCAGACTTTCTTCCTGCTTGGTATTTCATAGCAAAGATTGGAAATCTAGTATGCTTTTCTTCCCAACTGGGTCCAGTCCATCTCAGTGCAAGGTAACGTTACCTACAGGGCCAGTTTTGTAGTTGAGGGCAATAGCTTGAACTACAGAGGAGTTGTGCAGGCGGGTGTCTGTGTGCTGTGGTGGCAAGTGCCCTGGCTTACCTTCCACTTCCCTTGAAGCTTTGCAAGCGGAATAGCAAAATCTTACCCGGAGATCTCCAGTGGCCATACATCATGAATCCTGACTCTGTCTGCAAGACAACAGCTTTTTTAGTTGTCTGTAACCTCACTTAATTACGTGCTGCTTAATAGCTGAGTGAGAAATACGTGACAGTTCATTCTGAGCATTACAAAGCTGAAATGGATTATCTGTTAACAGTTCAGAGCTCACATCCACTGGGTCACTGAGACCTCTCAGTGCAACACAGTTCGTTCTTTGCTAGAAACTGAACAGCATTTCAAACAGTTCCAGAATGCACTGGGGAGAACATGTCAGTATCATTTTCTTCTGGTGTCAACAACTAGAATAATGTAATGAAATTTAATGAAAGGAGCTAATACCAACTTTCTGATACTTGTAGATTAGCTAAAGGGGCAGAAAGTGATCCTAAATTGCCTATCTTTGCATGTATCTAAGGGAAAATATACACGAAGTCTTATTTCCTCCTTAGAAAGGAGACAATGCTTCCAGCTTGTATCACGTGTAGAGAACAATGTTGTCTCTGAATTTTGAGAATATATGGTTAGCCTTGGTCCCATTATTAATTGCAGCATTTCACCACCAGCTACTTCCAGGTGCATCTTTACAGAGTTGCTGTATACTTCTTCAACTGGCAAATAACTTCTGTTTCTTCTTAGTTGGTGAATACAAGTGAAAACTTGAGCAAGAGTCGCAAGATTCTACGTTCCATGTCCAGGAGGTGAGTAGCGCGACTGAGAGCAGCACTCGGCAGGTAGCATTGCTGTCTGCAGGTTTCAGGCAAAAAATAGTGTCAGCTGGAACTGCAGGGAGGTTTTGGGGACTGTGTGCCCATGTGCAGATGCTAATTTGTGTTTTCTCCTCTCTGATAATTACTTAATGGAGTAATTGAACACTACTGAATTTGTGCTGCTCATTTAGGATAATACAGAGTCTTCAACCATCCCGAATGATAAATTGTGGTGAGGGGAGGGATTTGGACATAAGCAAGTTACAGCTAATGGTAACTTTAGATGCAACTCCTTGTTATTCAGGTTGGAAAAAGCTGTGCCATACATCGCTGCAGCATTAAGTGATTTAGATGTCTGATGACACAGACAAATTCATTTAGCCCATAGTAATGCCCTAGAATAGCTAAACTGTCAGATGGGAAGCTCTGAGCCTGACCATATACTATTTTAATGAGTAAAGCCATGGCTGCTTAAGTGTATTTATAGTTTCTTAACAGTATGGTTTAATTATCCTTCTAAACCAGTTCATGGAGCGTATTTCCAGTAGGTACTTCTGGCCTAACAACCTTTCCTTTATACTTTTGCTAAAGGAAGTTATGATAACTGTATAATTTTCAATAGTAAAAGTACAGTATTATTTTGAGATTTTATAGTTTTACTTCAACTACATAGTTCCAAGTAAAAGCACCATAAGGTGGGTTTTAGCACAGGACTTCAACTGATGTTTTCCTCTTTGCTTAATCAAATGAGTAGGCACATATACAGCAGAATGATCCGCCTTATGCGGGGGAAGAGAAACAGAACTGCTACTATTGAAGTGTAAGATTTAAGCAGAATTTCCAGGAAAACATGAGTAGGAAACTACCAAGTTTGTCCCCTCCTGCTTGTTGAGAGCTATTCGAATAGCACTTCGTGGTCCAGCTGAAACAGGAAGTATGCTTATTGAAGGTATGGTGGTGATTAGATTATCTAGAATCTGCTTTCATAATCAAGGAAAAAAAAAGCTATCTTGGATTTTTTTTATTTTTTAACTCTAGAGTAACCACTAATAAGTTGTTGCTGTCAATAATCATCATCCTGGAACTAGCCATCCTAGGAGGTGTGGTCTACTACAAGTTCTTCCGCAGCAGATGAATCTTCAAGAGTAAGATGAGCTTTTCCGCTGTTGAGGAACCGGATGGGATGTCTGTTGCCTTTGAATGGCTGAGGATTGAACTGTCTCACAAGACGGCACGTTCAACTGAAACTGTACTGACACTAGAAAGACAGAGAATGGGAGTAAAAGGAAAATGCAGAGACAGACTTGAACTGCTGGTAAGATTAATAAGAAGGTAATAAATATTTTGTTGTCTCAATTTGTATATACTTAACTAAATGAATAAATCTTGGTATGTAATAAAGTAGCCACCGATCAGTGGAAAAGCTAGTTTATTTAAAAATTGAGAAGTTAACAGTATTTGCCAAGTGTTGACAATCTATACACTCAAGTGCCTCAGCAGAGCTCTATAATGTCCAATGTACCCAACACTTTGGGTTCTTAAATCCTCACTTGCTCTTCACTGTCAGATTCATCTGGAGAACTGGGTGTTGGGAGTTCATCAAACGCAGTGTGTGCTCCTTCCCTTGTCTGCCCAAAGCACGTTGCTATCACGTCGACTGCGAGACTAGCAGTTGCGTTCACTTCCTCTTGAGAAGCTCCAAGCAGTGGATTGACTTCAACCATGTCTACAGCTGAAAGCATTCCTGTGAAAATGGTTTACAGCTTTGTTACTGTGAAAAAGGGTAAAATCTCTCATAGGGTTTCTTTTGCAGCCTCTCATTCGTAGCAGCAAGTCTGCTATTTGAGCTTGTGACCTACTCTACCCCTTAGACAAGTAAAATTGGCTCTCAAGTGAGGGATGAGGGTATCGTTCTTAGATGCAAGTTTGTGTGTTTAATTTGGTTCGTTCTTACATCGTCACTACCTCACTCATCCATGCTTTCACCATTCAGGAGAAACAAGTTTGATTTTCCATATACATTTATGAGAGGAATGTTTTTTAATCTTGTTTTCTCCCAGTCCAAAAATTAGGGGATATAAAATAGTCTCACCTAGTATTTTTTGCTGTCCTATTCATGATTCTATTGAATCTGTTGTCTGGTTGTTGTGGCTTTTTTTTCCTTCTTCCCATACCAACTTTTACTGCAAATAACTCATTGTTTAAACAAATTAAATAAAAACTCCATGACATAAGGAGGAAATTCCTCATATATTGAGTCAACTGCAGTATACTTAGTGAAAGCTTGATTTACTAGCCTTGAATCCTAGAATGGAACTTCAAACTGTTTAAAATTGTTTGCATCCATTTTTTTATTCTAGATGCCCATTTTTACATCTGACCTCATGCGCTTAGGAATAGGGGACAGTATTATACAAGATGACCAAGTAATTTTTGGCATTAGTTGTTAATGTATTATGTATTTTATTTACTTTCGGTAAGTTGCAGTTGTTGATGGTTAAGCTGCTTCCAACACCTGGGGTACTGCCCAACCACAGGACTTCTTTTTCCCCGTACGAAGGGTTGAATTGACTTTGTAGGCACCTTAGGTTTGACTACGTTTATCTTATTATCTAGTTACACAGGAAAAACATAACCAATATGAGCTCTATGTAGTTTGTCCTGTCCTTGCTTAGTCCAGTACTGCTGGTCAGCTCCTACCTGTGTTGTGTATTTCCTCTGTGATGTACATGCCTTCTCTGTAAGTTAATCCACCTAGAACAGGAGTCCCAGTTGCTGGAGCCAGTGAGGGATCAAAAGCATCAATGTCAAAACTCAGGTGAATTGGTCTCTGTCTCCTGAGACAGAATAAAACAAGAAGAGCAATTTCAGAACCTTGAACTTTTTCTACATCCAAGCTGATCAGCAAAGCAGCATCATACTCTGTGATGCTAAAGGTCCTAAGTCCTATACCAAGTCTTGCATACATTTGGAATGGATTTTTTATTTTTTAATATCTTTGGACTCTGAAACATCTCTTAGCTCAGAACTTTCCCCAGTACACACTGGGAAAACAGAAGTTTGTCTTTCTAGGTTCACTGAGCATCTGCTCAGTGGCTGAAGATAAGTGCTTTAGTTCTAACAGTCTTATCTGGTATTTGTCTCCTTAGTTGGAGAAATGTAGAGAAATGTATGATATAATCCAGCTTTTTCTCCTTTTGTACAGAAAGCCAGGGTGAAAGGCTGAAACATTGATTTTCATGGCATCTAGGATGGAGGAAGCACCAAGCTTGAGGATTTCATAGACAGCTCATCAAGATGAACGGGGCATTCTGCATTTTTCAGGTCAATAGTTGAAGGCTGCCTCCAAACTCTGCCATGTAAGCCTAGTTGATGAAAAAGTGAAGGATAATCTCAAACCTAAATGTTAGTTACTTACTACATGAAGTCTGGCAACCCATGACACCTTAATAAATTGGACACCGTTTGTCATTCAGATAAGCTATTTAAGTGGTAGACTGTGTACTTCTAACTTACTGCAGATGCTCAGTAGGGAGAAACATCTGGATTTGCAACTTCTTTACTTGGCACAGCTGCAGCTAGGAAGGGTGAGCACTCCTTTAGGTACAACAGCCTGCAGCACAGATACATGGACCTTGTTCTGCTTACAGGACTTTGTTCTACTCTGTGAGAGGGTAGAACCCCTTACCCTTTTAACTCTGATCCTCTCCGTGTGTCCCTAGACTAGCATGATTTGCTCCCTGATCTGGTTCAGCAAACTTGAACACGGTTAGCAAAGACTTCAGCATTGAACTTAAGTAAGGGAGTGGTTGCAGTGAACGTCACTAGCTGAACTGAAAGCGGCAGTTGTCATCAGGACAGTGTACGTGAGCACAGTCTAAGGAGGAAGCCATCAAATGCTTCTACCTCATGTACTAACAGCTGAATTCAGTTGCTACATGTGTTTTTTAAAAGTATAATGTATACCTTAGACTCCGAGTTGATTCAAACATTTTGTCAAACCGCAGCACAATGCAGAATTCCTCAAGAAACAGAACAAATCATATAAAACAGAGCCACAACTGTAGTGACTAATGTAACTTATCTCATAGCTTTTTGCGAAACACTGTGAAATGGTTCCAGTTCAAGATGTGGAGCTTGAGGACTAAAGTCAGTGCTAAGACTTTACTACTTACTGGACACTGTCACAGTACTGTTAGGCCACCTTACATCAAGAGTGACCTTCACCTGAATATCTACTTTCCTGAAAGTCATTTAACAAGTGGATGATAAGAGTAGTTTAAATCAGATAATAATTTGTTACCTGCCCATCAGTTGTTCAAATGTTTTTTCCATAACTTTCTGAATTCCAAGACGATCAATATCCCTCATGGAAAAATACTGGATGTCATAGTTCTTCAAAATATAGCTGTTAAAATAAAATTTTTTTAAAAAGTCATTACTGGCTTAAGCTTAAATCTAGCAACTCTTATGAACAGCCAGATGTGGAAAGAAGCTTATGATTTCAGCCTTTACAAAAATCCTTTTTTTTAGCAGGATCCACGTCCCTCAAACCAATGTACACAATATCAGATGCTGAAAGGCAGGGCTTTAGCCAGGAAAAGCCAGGAAGTTGTGGTACCTGCAAGCAAAGGTTTGGTATTAGGTTAGTTTCATGACATACATAACAAAACTGTATTTAATGCTTCCCTCAAAACTTCGTATTTATTTATAGCATCCTTTCTCTGTCTGAACAGAGAAACTTCATCACTTGAGAGTCTGGCTTCCTGATTTAATCAGTCCTTGCCTTTGTCATACGATTTTACTTGAGTTGAATGTTAATGGATGAAGTTTTTAACTCTTCTACATTTTCTAGTTTGAAGAGGAGGAATAAAAAGCCCAAATCCACAAGCAATAGGTGATTAGCATCAGTGAGGGGAATGATAAGAAACTAGATACCCAGATGTAGATCACTCATACAGTGCGTTTAATGGTAACGCTATGTAACTTACCCAGTACATCATACTTAAGTGGAAGAATAAAAACCAAGGCACCTGTATCTTTTAAGAGACTCACCAAAAAAGTCATGCAAACTTTGTGGCAAGAACAATGTTAAAGATGGACAAATTCAAAGTGGGGGAAAAAAAAAAAAAGAGCATGACAAGACAGTGGGCTTCCACATTGGGCTATATCATACTGGTTTTCAATGTAGAACTGAAGAGAGCAGGCCTAGGACAGCAAATGAAAGATGATGAGGGTCATCATTCTTCAGCTTTGGTAATTAAGTAGTCACGGTATGCAATTATAAAAAATCCTTCAATCCTACTAATTTTAGACGTACTTTAAATTAACTCAGATTTCTCTTCTTCCTCTCCCAGCTCTGAAAATGGCTACAGCCAACACAGCTGTCAAGCAGCAAGAAGGCTTTGTTTTCCTCTTATACTTCTCAATTACTAATTATATTCTAGTTACAACATTTGGATTTGTTTTTAAAGGCTAACACACCCATATATTTAATTACATTGGGATTAAATAAGCATATATAATAAAAGTATGTTTTCTGCAGTCATGAATTCAGAAGAGGCATAAATGAATTGGAGACCACGAGGAAGGATAATTCAGGTCTCAGAAATGAAGCTGTATCTGCAAAATCCACCACCATACCATAAGCTGAGCATAGTATTGATAATATTGTCAGATACTCTCTAGTATCCATTATTTAGTAGATTTAATACTGCCATTTTTAATTATACCTCTTCCTCTTTAAATAAAGAAGATGGAATGCCTTAACTTCCTTTGATAGGCTCTGTTTTTACTTTGTTGCAATAGAAAAGGAGTTGCTGATAGTAAAGCCAAACAGGCATCAGAAAAAGGTGCAGGCATTTTCATGGTAAGTTACTAATAGCAGTTTATGAGTTTAGTTTGAATGGTTCCAGGAGCCCTGATGCTAATGCTCAGTTTGAGGAATGCAAGTCAAAGGATTATGTTCATAAATATTTTCCCTTAAAACAGCAAAATTCATTTTAAAAGTTTTTTAAAAACCCTGAAGGGCCACCTTGCCTTGAGGCGTACCAGACAGTGCTGCTGTGAAGCTACCTGGACAAACAAGTAGTAACTGACAGCCTGTGAAGGGACTGTGCAAGCAACACCAGGGTTTGTTCTACAGTGACCTCGCCAAATGCTTTATTTTATTTCACAGCGAGATGCATCACTTTTATACTTCATGTTGTCTGCTACATGGGGTTATTTAATTCAGTAGAGCATTGACCAAGCTCATTAGCCCTGGATACATAAGGGATTCTGCAAACAGGTGAGATGATAACTCCTAAGCTGAGGGACTTGAAACAGCCCTGGGGAGTTCTTGGCAGTTGTGCTAATTTAAGCAGTTGCTGCCATGTCAGTTCCCCCTGTTCCGTTGTGCCAGGACAGCTGTTTGTAGGGTCA